CCCGTGCTTATCGCCATTACCTTCATTTTACTGCTGACCACAGAGGTCAGCGGTTATTGTTGCCTACTTGGTACTTTGATCAGCTGTTGTTTCATCGTTAGGCACGTGCGTGCCATCAATGCGGCTAGCTATTTTGCATGGCTTCGGGCACAGAAGCGAATCACACGTAACAGCCAGCCTGCTGATGGCGTTTATATCTTTGTTTTTATTTTTGCTTTTCGGATAAATGTATTGTATTCACTCTGGCACTTACATACATGCCATATGTTTTTTAGTGACAGAATGACGAGGAGCTGAGAGCTTGCAATGCACAAGTCTACAAGCGACAAGGTATGTTCGTTAATTTCTGAAGAAGCAATTAACAAGTGAAAATTTAAAGTCCAACAAAAATGGCAATTGATTAGGATACATCCTGCCAATGTCCAATAAACGCTGCAGTTGCATGCGCGCTCCTGGGCTAAAATAACTGCAGAGGTCAGCATTTGTTTTATGTACACAAAACAGACCTGTTTTTGCACATCATTATTCAATAGTTATGAGACATCGCTTTGAAAACAATTAGCAATATTCTTATATTTAAGCGCACATACAAACACACGCACAGTGATGGGAGAGAGGCCCGAAACAGAAATCCGAGATTATGTTAAAAAGCATGAAATCTGCTATATCCTCGTCGACAAGCAAAGATTGATCTGCGTTATCTTGAATTCGCCCATTCATCAGTCCCAACCACCGTCTGGTGGAAGCAAAGACCAGGATCGTTTGCGAAAAGAAAAAAATACGAAGGCAGTTTTACACTGCATTGGACCAAAGCTGTTCACACCTTAGCGCAACCTAGAAGCAGCTAAAAACCATGACTTCGGAATATCCCATGAGGTGTTAGATGCTTTTCAATTTCTTGAGTTTTCAAAATGCTGCGGCGTTCAAAATTGTCACGGTTTCAAAGTACGCTTCAGTCAATTAACAATTTTCTCTTCTGAGCAAAAAACCAGGCTGGAACGCACTGGGTGGGCCCGTGTGATCATACGTTTTAGCAACGAAATTGAAGTACTCAGGTCATTAACTGCATGAATGGTTGTTGCTTTACACCCACCTTTTGCAGTCACTAGCATAAATCACCATAGATTTCGCATAAAGTAAATGTACAATTTCCATTTAACAGCAGTTCTTTAAATGTAACCTAGCTGTTCAGTGAGAAATTTACACACCAAAACTTTCAAGTGCCCGTACACAAGAAATAAGCATACCTCAAGGCTGAATTTGAAATACTTAAGTAGTACTTGGACAGGGAACATTGTCCTAAAATTTCAGTTTTCTAGTTTTTTTGGTTCCCGAGTTAGTAATTTTCCAGCAGAAACTTACGTGAGTACCACGCATAGCTTGGGGCTGAATTTGAAATGTATGAGTTGCACTTGGGCAAGGCACATTCCCCCAAAATTTCAGCCTTCCAGCTTTTCTGGTTGTCGAGTTAGCAATTTTCCCGCCAAAACTTTCACATGCCCGTACGTGGATACTCCACGTGCCTCGAAAGCTGAATTTGAAATTTTTAAATTGCACTTGGACAGGTAACATCCCCTAAAATTTCAGCCTTCCAGCTTTTCTGGTTGCCGAGTCAGTAATTTTCCGCAGAAACTTTCATACGTCTTTACGCGAGTACCATGCATACCTGGGGCTGAATTTGAAATGCTTGAGTTGTGCTTGGATAGGGAATATTTTCCTAAAACTTCAGCTTTCTAGTTTTTCTCAATCCCAAGTGAGCAATTTTCCCTCCGAAATTTTCATACGCCCTTAACTGAGTACCACGCGTGCCTGGGGGCTGAATTTGAAATCTCTAGCTAGACATGCACAAGGGATATCCCTACGGAGTTTCAGCCCCTTAGCTTGCGTTGTTCCCGAGATCGCTTTTCGGCCAAAAAATTTGCATATTTTTTTATAGCGCCCGTACGCGGCACCCAGGCGTCCGCGGAAGATGAAGTCAAAACAGGAGGGTCGTGCATGTTATGGGCACATACCTCCAAACTTTCAGCCTTCTAGCTTTCTGATTCTCGAGTTGAAAGTGGGTGACAAAAACTGCGAACATGTAGACACACACACACAGGCAGCCTCTTCCCAATATGCGCTTTTGCAGTTTGTATATATGCAAAAAAGCGTAAAAAGCAGTGGCACGCAAATGAACAGAAAGCGTACTAGACTAGCCGGTGCGATCATGCGTTTTGTGCAATTCCGTCTGTTAATAATTTTCACTGCTTTGTACTTTAGTCCGTGTAGGAGAAAACGTTGAAAAACAGTTGAAAATTTAATGCATCAGCACGTGAAAGCTGAATTTGAAACCTCAAAGGGTGAATATCTTTCCAAAATTTCAATCTCCTAACTTTCTTGTTTTCGAATATCTTTGAGACGAAAATTTCACATGGGCGTATGTGAGAACTCGGCATACTTAGGAACTGTATTCGAGTTTGTGAAGCCCCTGCTTAAGCAGGAAACATTCTTTTGAAATTTTCAGCAATGATTTTTCTCGTCAAAACATCGACAGTGATGTTAAAAATTTGCGGAGTTGCACGTGGGCGAGGGTTGTCATGCTAAAATTTAAGCTTCCTAGCTTTTGCAGTTCACGAGACAATTTCCCTACCAAAACTTTCATGGGGCGCGAAGGTTGAATCCAAGGGGTGCGCGAAAGCTGAATCCAAATTTACGAGTATCGCACGTTGATAGGCCACATCGCCGTAAAATTTCAGATTCCCAACTCCCGTAGTTCCCGATAATAATCTTCCTCGCCGAAACTTCCACGGGGCCGTAAGTGATATCTGGACAAGCGGGACGGCTGAATTTAAATTTGCGGGTCATATGTTGACATGGCACACTACCCCAAAACTGCAGCTTGGCTTTTATGGTTCCCGGGATAATAATTTCCCCGCCAAATATTCACGGAGCCGCAGGTTATACCCGAGGGAGCAGGAACACTGAATTTGAATTTGCAGAATCGTGCGTGGGTAAGAGGTTACTACCCTAAAATTTATTTCGTGATCTCCGAGCTAATAATTTACAAACCAAAATTTTCACGGGGCCGTTCGTGTTACCCATGGGCAGGAGAATGCTGAATTTGAAATTTCTAGGTCGCATGTGGGCAGGAACATTCCCACAAAATTTCAGCCTTCTAGCCTCCGTGGTTACCATGATAATAATTTTACCTGGCCAAACTTTTACGGAGTCGTACGTGTCACCCGCGGATACGGGGGAGCTGAATTTACATACGCAATGTCACACGTGGGTGGGGAACGTTCCTCTAAATTTTCAGCCTCCTAGTTTTTGTGGTTCCTGAGTTGAAAGTTGCGGACAAGTTGCTGAGGACACATACACATACAGACAAACACACACCCAAACAACCCCGTGACAATATGAGTTTTGTACTCCTGTTACACAGCACAAAACGTAAAAAATGGCCTAGAATACAAGAAGCTTTGTCATCTCCTTACAAGGTGAGAGAATACTAAAACAGAACAAAATAACAAATGTAGTATAAAAAGAACACAAGAAATCCGAACGCCTCAAAGCATGTCGGTTGACGCTGCAGGACAACAAATAGCGACAAATGGGAACCATCGAAAAACGTTTCCACAGTCTGCCCCACTAGCCAGTTCCAGAAACTGAAATTCCTGATTTACAGTTGTGCGCTGAGCACAAAATCCAACACAGATGCGCTTCCGACTGTTCTTGTTCTTCTGGTTGCGTCAAGTGCGATTGGTGTACACGCATTTTTCAAGCACATTTTGCCGATGAGTCATTCTGTGGAAATTTTAGGAAAGTCTTTGAAGAGCTGGACGTCTTTCGATTGCTACAGGCCTAGAAGGGTACATTTCACCAACAGAGTGTGCTGTGTGTCGTAGTAGCACTTGTGTGGGAGTTAAAGAAGGAGAAGAAAAGTGCTGTGTGCTCATAGTTTTGAAATAAATCCCCGAAGAGTGAGCATATGAGCATTGCCCGGAAGGCGGACTCGTTCAGCGGCGGCCATGGATGACTTGCTTCTGGAAAAACAAGAATCATCCGTCCGGAGCTTATCTGAAAAGCGCATATTTTCCATATGAAGTATTTACTGCTCTATGAAATGCGCCGATTTTTTTTCGTACTTATATATCTTGTTCCGGCAAACAACAAACAGTATAATAGCACTCGGCCACTTCCGAGTGTTTCCGGCTGTCATAGATAGCGAATACTGGGAGGGTTTTGACTTCTTGGATATTTTATTTGTTTGTTTTTCATCGTGCTTTCAAAAAGCATTTTTGCGATAACTGTTCTGGAGTCGCAGTCTCATAATGTACTGCGTTTGTATAAGCGCTCAGTGAATCGCGGTGTGCGCGATGAGCTTACGCTGGTCCATATAACTGGCCCGTATTCCACGGTTCATGTAGCAGATTGACCTGAAAAATGCCTTCGCGAGCAGTTTCCAAAGCTTCGACTTCCTAGTTCATATAGCCATAGATCTGAAGCATTCAGATGAAAAGGTACATACATATTCACATACATGAAGAAGCGCAAAACGTAGCAGTGCTAATCCCAGACATATTCCGCAGCTGAAGTGCAATGTACTTTTTTGAAAGTTCTGATGCATGACGAGAGAAGAAAAAGTCCCTCGAGCAAACGATAAATGGCAACGTGCGATTTTGCACATGCACAAATACGCAAAAATGCATAAGAATAGGGCAGTTATTGGATTTTGCAGGCTTCAAGTGGTGGTGCGGTGATTGGTAGGCGGGATGTGGGAAAGAGGGTGATTGTTGGACGAGTCGGTGCTGGTACGTTAATGTATGTTGGCCCAGTTGAAGGCAAAGAAGGCGTTTTTTGTGGCGTAGAACTTGATCATCCGGAAGGGAAACATGATGGTACATATCAAGGTGTGCAATATTTTTAGATATTCTCAATCCCAGTCATATTTTTTGATCAAATCAGTAACTCATAGTAATGCTGATTTCAGCATCATAATTCTGACAGGACGTAGCGCGCACACCTTGCCTTTTTTTTAGTAAATTACAAAAACTAGGATTACTGAGAATACCAAAGCCTTTCGAATAATCGGTATGAAGCATTCCATATATTAGTGATGTTGCTGGGCTTCTGTGATATTTCGGGCCCTTCGATCTGATTGCAGTGCCCGAAAACAATTTTAGCGAGCTGTGTGGCTGATAAGGCATTTTGAAATCTAATTCTCTTCCTTTAAAAAATTGTTTTTTTTTGAGACAGATGAAATAGAAATGGTTGGTCAAACAACAGCGCATACAAAACTTGTTTTAGGCTTCAAAATTTTTTTGTTGTTGCTTTCGACATAACACTAAGCTGTAGAGGTCAAGAAGAGGAGAAAGTTACAAATGCAGCGCTTGCCGTTGAGTCTGTAAATTTATAGTGCAGCCGAGATATAACTGCAAGGCACAATAATCAACTGAAAGACAGTTGGTCTAGTATGTTGGTGTCTTTTCTACTTCCTGCTTAACACGTGGCACTTGTTGTAAGAACAGCAGGAAGAATACCTTCACACTAGAGTAATTCACTGAAGTAATGTATTCAGAAAGCGT